TTAATTAATTTTTATAATGTTTTTATAATGTTGCACTATTTTAGTGTTGTTAGCCGCCCTGAGCCCGGCTTCGGCTGGGGAGGGCGGGATATAAATAAAATTTATTATTATTATTATTATTATTATTATTATTATTATTATTATTATATCTATATATATCTCTATATACACCATCATTTTTAGTTTACCTATTGATATTTAATTCTAACATTTTGATCCTATCAATTCATAAAAACTCTGTCTGGACATTCAATCATGAACTTCAAATCTGGTCTGTGATGTCTATTTTGATTAAGCACATAGATGAAGAATGGGAAGCTTGTGGGCCGCCAAACTTTTTTTGACTACACCTCCCATCATCCCTGACCATTGGCTATTCTAGCTGAGGCTGCTGGGGGTTAGAGTTCAACAATGTCTGGACCTGGGCACCAGATTCCTCATTCCTAGTTCAGATGGGTCAATTAATTTCGTTAGTCAATAGGTGACTCCAGTTAATCAGGAAGCAGTTTTTTATTTGGTGGCAGCCCAGTTTAAATTAAATTTGGAAAATTATTTACAGCAGTGGTTCCCAAGTGGTGGTCTGTGGACCCCAGGGGTGCCACACAATCCACCCAGGGGGCCTGTGGCATCATTCACATAACAAAAAATACCACAGAGGTACCCAAATGTTCAAAAGTAGGGGGTCCATGGCTTGGCTTTTGAACCACTAGGGGTCTGCAGAACTTAGCTAATTGGGAACCACTGATTTACAGCATTAAAACTCTTTATACTATCTCAGTCTTCTGCTCTCTGTTTCAGCACCACATTTTCATTCTCTCTCTCTCTGTCACCCGCTTTCCCCTCTCTTCTTTCCTTTTCTCCCTCCTCCCTGGCTTGAGAGCAGTACATGTGAAAAGGATCTAGGAGTCTTGGTTGACCACAAACTTGACATGAGCCAACAGTGTGACGCGGCAGCTAAAAAAGCCAATGCAATTCTGGGCTGCATCAATAGGAGTATAGCATCTAGATCAAGGGAAGTAATAGTGCCACTGTATTCTGCTCTGGTCAGACCTCACCTGGAGTACTGTGTCCAGTTCTGGGCACCACAGTTCAAGAAGGACACTAACAAACTGGAACGTGTCCAGAGGAGGGCAACCAAAATGGTCAAAGGCCTGGAAACGATGCCTTATGAGGAACGGCTAAGGGAGCTGGGCATGTTTAGCCTGGAGAAGAGGAGGTTAAGGGGTGATATGATAGCCATGTTCAAATATATAAAAGGATGTCACATAGAGGAGGGAGAAAGGTTGTTTTCTGCTGCTCCAGAGAAGCGGACACGGAGCAATGGATCCAAACTACAAGAAAGAAGATTCCACCTAAACATTAGGAAGAACTTCCTGACAGTAAGAGCTGTTCGACAGTGGAATTTGCTGCCAGGAAGTGTGGTGGAGTCTCCTTCTTTGGAGGTCTTTAAGCAGAGGCTTGACAACCATATGTCAGGAGTGCTCTGATGGTGTTTCCTGCTTGGCAGGGGGTTGGACTCAGTGGCCCTTGTGGTCTCTTCCAACTCTATGATTCTATGATTCCCTTTGTGCTAGGTAGATATATAGTGTAACTGGACACAGGGTAGCTTCTTCACATGCTCCTATGATAAGGCATTGTTGTGGGAGTGGATGCTCACCTAAGAATTGTCACCTAAGTTCCAGTGAAGTAAATGACTGATCAGCCTGCCAGACAAATCCAGATTTTAGCCTCCTTTACATTTGTGGTCATTCTTCCTCTCTTTGCAGGACAAGCTAAACCCAAGACTTGTAAGGAGGTGGGAGGTTACTGCATTCCTCATAAATCAGACTGCCCTAGGGATTCCATAATTCCAGCCCAATGTAAGCAGAATGAAAAGTGCTGCAAAGATTAATAAGGTTCAGATCCGTTTATTTGATGCATCTTCAGTGATAGAAGCCAAGAGAGGTCATTTTGTGCTAATGTCAACACAGATAAAGCAGCATATTCCACTCAATAAATGTATGTCAAAAATACAGATTTAAAATTCGTTTCCAAAATGTCTGTTGTCAGATATGATTCTGTCTCAGTTACATTGTGGAATGTTCCTGATATTTCCTGCTCAGGTCTATAGTTTCTGGTGACAATCGTTGTGGTCCAGAAGCTTGCAGCTGCATTTTGGATTAGGTGCCATTGCTAAACAGTATTTAAAGGCAGTCCATGCACAACACATCACAGTAGTCTAATTTGGGGGTTATCAGAAAGTGCATGATCTTGGCCAGGAGTATCAATACAGGCAGGACCACAACTGGCATGCTCAGCTGGTACAAAACACCCCAAGTCCATGATGCCACCAATTCCTCCAGTGACAAAACTGGATCTAATAGGATCCTTCAGTTGGATACCGGATTTGAAGGAGTTCAACCCTATCCAGGCCTGAACTCCCCCTTCCTGGTTAGATGAGCTATTGAGACTGGTGCAAAATACATTTACAAAAGGGTTAAAGACTTTTGAGCACCAGACTTGAATGGAGCTTGTAGTCCTCTCATACACATAAAACTACTCCTGTTTACCGAGCTGGTTGACTTTCTTAATTCCAGCAGTATAATTTAGGAATCTGAAACCTTGGCCACTCTCCTGCAAAGCACGCAGATTCAGTAGGCCCTGATCTATCTTCCCACCCACCTTTTCTCCATCCTATCCAGATGGAATTCCAATTAACTCTCATCCAGTTCATTCATGATTCCAAGCACTGGTTTGCTACATTCACTATCTCACCCCACTCAAATGTAAAGGAAGAATAGAAATGGGTGTGTGGATGATCTTCACTGGTTCTTGTTGGTAAGGCCAGATGATGCCCTGAATGTTTAAACTTATTGAATGGATGTTGTAGAGATGAACAAAAGAGTTCATATATTCTACAACATGGATTGTAGAACATGGATTATTCTACAGCATTATTTCATCCTTGAAATAATTAGCAAACATATTACATTCTTCCAGGGATTGACATGGGCAGACACCCTTTGGGCCCCTGGGGCTCCAGCACTAACATCACCACTCGGACTTCTACCACCGTCAATGTTGTGGTCTGGCACTACTGTTGTTGCCACCAGTCACTCATTCACCCTTCCCTTCCTCTTGTTTACATGGTGGTGGTGAACGATATGGGACTCAGGCTATTGCTCTATTCCATGGCCTTGTGGACCAAGGAGGTCACATAGGTGAGACCAAGCTGTTCTGGTTTTCTTCCCATCCTCATTCCTTGTGAAGCTGTAGACACCAAAGCATTGCAGTTGTGTAAGGACTTGGTGCCTAACTAAATTCAAAAAGTGTGTAACCTTATTTTACTGCGGGTCGCTACCATCACAATTTCTAGTATGGGCTATTGTCACAGTAACTTTGATGATGATAACTACAATTTATTTCCTGCACGTCATTCTAAGGTCACAGGGTGGGCGACAGCAATTAAAGCAATATTTAAAAAACAGTTTAAAACTGCTTGAAATTACAGAAATAATACAGGTATCCTGAAAAAGATATGCATCTCAAGTGTCAAATGCCAGGATACAGAAGTAATTTTCAGGATTCTCTGAAAGCTTTCCTCCTGGTTCCATGAAACACAACACAAGACTTTAATGTTTTGTATATCGTGGGACATATGCAAATGAAGGCAATTCAGGCAATAGACAAGCTAATCCTATGTGCAGCTACACAAAGGCAAGTGCTCTAACTGGCCAGAAGCCATAGATGATGATCTGACACTGACACAGTTCTGGGGCACTTTTATAAAGGCTGTAAGCATTTCTGCAGCCACTTCTTCCTCCTGGTGGACTGAGCCCTCTGTTCCCTTCTCTTTTGACTCCTCTTAGACCTAGGTAATGGGGAAGGAGTCTCTGGCTCTTGCAAGGTGGCTGGAACCAGTGGAACTTCCCTTCTAGACTGAAAGAGCTACTCCGTGTATCCAGTGATGCCAGAGCAGGTGTGTCAAAGAACAGCTCTTCCAAGCCTAGAGAGCAAGGCAGAGACAAAGAGAGGGATGGATCTTGCAGCTGCCATGGCAGGGATGGATAAGGCGAGAGAGCAAGTTGAGGAAGCGCCCTCCCAGGATCTTCACTGGCAGATTCCTCCACTCACAGTGGGGGTTGCTACATCCCACTGGAGCCCTCTCTCAGGTCCTCCATCTGCATCATCCCAACTTGGCCAGCCCATCAGAGCTCTATAATGAAGGTCCTAGACACATCTCCATGAGAAGAGAATTTCACAGCTTAGTGGCTGCTACTGAGATTGCCCTTTCCTTTGAGATTCTGATGACAGTGGTAAAACTCCCTCTGCTGATCTTTCTTATCATTGAGGTCCAGTGCCGAGGGCCTTCTGGCGGTTCCCTCCCTGCGAGAAGCCAAGTTACAGGGAACCAGGCAGAGGGCCTTCTCAGTTTTGGCACCCGCCCTGTGGAACGCCCTCCCACCAGATGTCAAAGAGAAAAATAACTACCAAACTTTTAGAAGACATCTGAAGGCAGCCCTGTTTAGGGAAGCTTTTAATGTTTAATAGGTTATTGTATTTTAGTGTTTTGTTGGAAGCCACCCAGAGTGGCTGAGGAAACCCAGATGGGTGGGGTATAAATAATAAATTATTATATATCACCTGTGAGGGTCTGTAGGGCAGGCGGAAGTCTTTTATGTATATGGGGCCTGAGACATCTAGGGCTAATGTGAGCACCTTGAATTGGACCCAGAAATGAACCGTCAAATAGCAAAGCTGTTTTAAAACAGGATTTATACGAGATCTGGATGAACCCCAGCCAGTAATCTGATCAATGCATTTTCGACCAATTGAAGTTTCTGTCTCCTCTTCAAGGGCAGGACACATAGTCTGCATTCAGAAGGCACCAGATTCAGGATTGGGGGAGTCCATTGATTGGAACCTTGGAGTTTCTGTGCAAAACAGAACATTCATAAGCAGCCAGCATAATTATGAAGACATTAAACTGGGTGTTTTTATTTCCATTTCATTCTGTCTTGCTATTTGGTGGGTTCGCAGCAAGGTGACAGGTAATAGCAAACTTTTATTTCCACGGATCCCTCAGGACAGCGGGTGTCAGCGCAGCGCCCTCCTTTAGCCTCACATGCTTGTATGCCTCTCAACTTTTCATTCTCAGTTTCTCCTGCACAAAGGAAGCGCATTAACCAAAGGTATAGAACTCCATACAGACTCAGTAATACACATACACACAGACACAGTGGTACCTCGAGTTAAGAACTTAATTCGTTCTGGAGGTCCGTTCTTATCCTGAAACTGTTCTTAACCTGAGGTACCACTTTAGCTAATGGGGCCTCCTGCTGCCGCCACCTTGTGATTTCTGCTCTCATCCTGAAGCAAAGTTCTTAACCTGAGGTACTATTTCTGGGTTAGCGGAGTCTGTAACCTGAAGTGTCTGTAACCTGAGGTACCACTGTAAATATATATATGCTAGCTGCAGTGAGAAGTGCTGGAGATGTGGACACTCAAGGACATATATGAAACAAATTTGGTGGACTTGTCCAATAATTGAAATCTTTAGTTCAGTAGTGGTAAGTGTAGTATCGTTAATAGCACCTAACATTTTGTTCCCTCCCTCCCAGTAGAATTGGGAGGGGTGGGGTAGCCAACATTCATTCACAGCCATTGTAATGATGCTTACATTAAACTGGGCTTTCCATCACATTTTGTCTTGCTATTAGGAGGATATGCAGGAGGGTGATGTCCAGGGGCACCAGATCCTAGGGGCCCAGCCCTTTTGGCTTCCCAATAATTTTTTTTGGGGGGAAGCCTGGTCCCCCACTATGTTCCAAAATAATCATCAGGCAGAGTAGACCAAGCATGGAACCAAAGCATGCCCTGGCTTTAGTGGCTGGCTCTCTCCCTCTGCTGCTGCCATGGAGGGGAAGGAAGCAGCCTCTGGCTGATGGTGGCAGCAGAAAGGAGGAAGAGGGAGAGGAGGAGGCTGACTGCCAGAGAGGAGGAACTGCCAGCCACTGAAGCTGTGCTGCTGCTGCATTCAGCTCTGCCCTGGCTCCTCCCGATGTCATGACTAAAGTTTTATTTGGAGATTATCCTCCACAAAAGAAGCATTCTACTGATGATGGATTCCATGAGTGGAGGACAAAACAAATATAAATCAGTCATCCTACTTCAGCCATATCTTCTGCAAAAAAAGAAACACTATTAGTAATGCATTTTACTAATATGGATGGATGGCGGCTACCAGTTGAGGCTGAATCCTGACAAGACAAACTGTTGTTGTTGTTTTTTTGGGGGGGGGACTTCCGGAGGCGGCGCCAGCGATTAATGGCGGATTTCCTCCACCGGAGGAAATCTCACTACGAATTAAGGGTCGGATCCCGCTTTCGGCGTAGCGGGGGACCCCTAAAAATCACAGGCGGGAGAAGCCTGTGAGCCTGGGACCCAGCGGGCACATTTGGCGCCCCCCCCCAACCCGGTAGGAAGCCCGGCAACGGGCTTTGAAGCGGAGAGCGCTGTGCTGTGGGCTGTCTGCTCGTTCGTGGTGTGAAGCCGCAAGCTGTTGATCGGAGAGCGCTGCCTTTCTTCCTTAAAATCCGGACCTGAAAATCAACGATCCGTGAGTAGGATACAAATTAAATTGGAACTGTATAAAACTGGAATCTGGCCGAAAACGGAAAGAGGCTTAAAAAGGAATTCAGTCTCTTTATTTGTAGATAAAATAAAGCATTGAACTTGAAAGCGGAAGCAACTGGAAAGTACGTTTTGGCGGACTTTAATCCAATCATCTAACCTGGACTTTTCCCTTTTAAAATTGAGGGAAAAGAGGGAGAATTGTGGATGTGATTTCTTCATAAAGGGTGGAAAAGAAGGGATTGAACCACCACTCAACTCCCTGGGAAAGGATCTCCAGATCTCAGGAAAGAAAGAGAGGTACTGTCTTGCAATATATTTTGACAGCTAGTCTAGCACAAGAAATAAAAGTTTGGACAATTTATGTGAATATATATCTCCTGGTCTTAAGTTAAAAATTCTAAATAGACTGTTTTCGTCCTGAATAAACTAGGGGGGCTTAAAAAAAAAAAAGGAATTAAAGTATCCAAGAACTTTTATGACTGTTACAGTGTCCCCCTAGTGGAACTTGGAACTGTTACAATTTGTTACAACTGAAACTGTAGCAGACTTGAGGAGTTTTCACACTGCCTGGTAGGAAATTTCCACTGTTCAATTTCAAATACGTGACTGACCTTGGCGTTATCTAAGGAATGGCAGATGGGAAAGAGAAGGCGGATGCTTCGACTACAAGATCGGGGAGGCCTCTTCGCACAGAAGAAGGATTACAAAGGAGATTTTCGGCCTCAGGCCCTTCTGGAACCTCAACAACAGCCTCATCGGCACAATTAAAGGTAAAAAGCACGACAAGTGAAGAAGCCTTTGCTCAAGTTTTGGCCAAAGTTAATGAATCTTTGAATAAAATAAGTCAACAAGTAGCAGAGGCTTCTGATAAGATTGATCAAAATACAATAAGTATTAACCAGAATACAGCAAGTATTAACCAGAATACAGCAAGTATAAATAATTTGGGCCAAAAAGTAAATACTAACACAGAGACTATTCAGAAATTATTAGAGGAATCGGCCTCAATTCGCCAGATTGCTGAAGAGGCTAAAGAAATTGCTACAACTTCTGCTACGGATGTTAAAGAGGTTCAAGAGGAATTACCAACACTGCACAAACAATTGGAAGACCACAAACTAACCCTGTCTATGATAGATTTGAAGGAGAAGCAAGTGAATCTTCGGGTCAGATCGGTACCTGAGGTGGAAAAGGACAATCTAGCTGAATTTCTCACGCAGGAATTTTTGGACTTTTGGGATCCAGAATTGGTAAAAGACAGTTTCAGAATAGTAAATGCCTTCAGACTCGGGAGAAGAGGAGAGAAGAAGGTGAGAGACTGTCTGATTACTTTTCGAACAAAAGAAGAGAGGGATAAGATTTTGGGCCTACATTTTAAGAAGACACTGGAAATCCATCGGACAAGGGTGGAAATATTCAAAGATATTCCGAAATATCTTCTGGATCTCAGATCAAAATATAAAGACTTGGTTACCCTGCTGAGAAGGAACAATATCAATTTCAGGTGGGAACTTCCTCAAGGCCTGTCTTTTAGCTACAAAGGAAAGAAGAGGAAAATAAGATCGGAAGACGACAAAGACAAATTTTATAGAGACCACGGAGAAGACCTACAAAAAGAACTATCTCCGGAACCAAAAGACCTTTCGAAAGAAGGGATACCACCGACGGATGAGGAACAGGCACTAGGTGCAGTAGGAGGAGAACTAAAACAATAACATCATGGCCCTGCAACTTTTAACATGGAACTGTCGGGGTTTGAATTCCCCTCAGAAGAGGAAGTCAGTATTTCATATATTAAAAGGAACAATTGGACCTAATTTGTTTACAAGAAACACACATAACAAGATTACACAGGAAATTGTTGATAAATAAAAGACTTGGTCAGGAATTTATTTCGTCAGATAAAGTTAAAAAGAGAGGGGTTGTGATTTACGTAAAAGACAATTTATCACAAAAATAAGATATTAAGGATGACCAATGAAGATTTGTGGCAATTGAAATTCAAACACAAGGAGAAAAATTTTTGATTGTAGGAGTTTACGCACCAAATGATGGGAAATCTGATTTTTTTAAGAAGTTGCATGAGACCTTGATGGACCATATGGATTACAACATGATTTTGATGGGAGATATGAATGGAGTGGTATCTACTTATATGGACAAGGCACAAAGACAGGTAGTCACCAAAGATGGTAGACTACCGAAAACCTTTTTTGACATGACAGACAACTTGGACTTAGTGGATATTTGGAGAATTAGAAACCCCTTGGCAAAAGAGGGAACTTTCTTTTCTGAAGCCAAAATGACTTGGACAAGAAATGACCAAATTTGGATAACTAGAGGAATGGCACCAAAGACAAGAAAGGTGGAAATCTGCCCGAAAATTTGCTCCGACCATAATGCTGTTAAGATGGAAATGAGACTAACACCAACTGGCTCCTTCAGATGGAAGATGAATGACACCTTATTTAGAGATGAAGAAACTGCTGGACAAATAATGTGGATTGGAATACAAAAAAAGGAGGTATGAGGAAGTCCAGAAAATAAGTAATCTAAAATTGGAAATGGAAAAGAGAGTTTGTTTTTAATTGTTCTGTTCTGTTTTTATTGTTAAGTTTTGTATTGTTTTTTGTGTGTGTTGTTTTTCTTTTTTCTTTGTTTAAAACCTTAATAAAAAATTATTTAAAAAAAAGACAAACTGTTTTTTTTATATGATATTTATTAAAGTTTCCATAAAAGATTAAACATAGAACATAAAAAAGAAATACACAATTCAAAAAATACACAATACATAATCCAAAAAAGAAAAAAACAAAAAAAAAAAAAAGAAAAAAAAAAAAAAAAAACAGTTAAAAACAATATCGCCTTTTCATCTCCATTTTTAAATTTACTTATTTTCTGGACCTCCTCATACCTCCCTCTTTTGTATTCCAGTTCAAATTGTTTGTCCAGCAATTTCTTTATCTCTTTTTTAATCCCAATCTTTAGTCTTAATATAATATAACGTTAAAATTTTACCTCTTAAAAACCAAATTTCCATTTCCTTAAACTTTTTTAATCCTAATCCTTAATCTTAATCTATCTATACTTTAAACCCTGTACAGCTGGAAGCCACTTATTTTCAATCCAACATCACTCTAACATTCTTTAATTTTGCAATGTTTCTGCAGATAGTCTTTGAATTTCTTCCAATCTTCCTCCACCGACTCTTCTCCCTGGTCACGGATTCTACCAGTCATTTCCGCCAGTTGCATATAGTCCATCAGTTTCATCTGCCATTCCTCCAGTGTGGGAAGCTCTTGTGTCTTCCAATACTTTGCAATGAGTATTCTTGCTGCTTTTGTTGCATACATAAAGAAAGTTCTATCCTTTTTTATCACCATTTGGCCGACTATGCCCAGGAGAAAGGCCTCTGGTTTCTTGGGGAAGGTATATTTAAATACCTTTTTTAATTCATTATATATCATTTCCCAGAAAGCCTTAATCTTTGGGCACGTCCACCAAAGGTGAAAAAATGTACCTTCAGTTTCTTTACATTTCCAACATTTATTATCGGGCAAATGATAGATTTTTGCAAGCTTGACTGGAGTTATGTACCACCTGTATATCATTTTCATAATATTCTCTCTTAAGGCATTACATGCCGTAAATTTCATACCTGTGGTCCATAACCGTTCCCAGTCAGCGAACATAATGTTATGTCATCTGAAGGCAGCCCTGTTTAAGGAAGTTTTTAATGTTTGATGTTTTATTGTGTTTTTAATATTCTGTTGGGAACTGCCCAGAGTGGCTGGGGAGGCCTAGCTAGATGTGCAGTAAGAGGTGGGATTAATAACCATTCTCATTTGTTGAGATTGCCCAACAATGTATGAGAAACAGATGTGTTCCATGATTCTTACATGTCACCATCTTAAATATGTATACATTCAGCTGCTTCCTCAATAGTTTTTTACCTGTCTATGCCTATTACGTTCACCATCATGTGAACCCCACCTCTCGTTGGCCGATGCTTCCCACAAAACTCATGTTAGTCTTTCATGCAGATGTCCACAACCTGGCATCCTCCAGATGTTGTTGGATAATATCTCCTATTATCCCAGATTGGCCCTGTTGGATGAGGCTGATGGGGAAACTATAGGAGAATTTTACTCTCCCCACAGCACTGGATATTTGGCAAAATGTTCCCTCTCATTTTGCCATCCACAAATAGCTTGGAGAGTATTGTGGCGGGGCAAAGTTTTGCTCATCCCAAAGATAGATGACGATAGATGATTGCTAGGTGACAGATGATAGATTATATGCATGGCAGATGGCAAACAACAAGTGTCAGGTGCTAAATGATAGTTAAATAGTTAGATATAGGACTCAGCTATACAGCTGCAAATAAAACGTTTTAAGTGTGTTGTAAAGTGCATTATACAAATGTGATGGTAGATGGCAATGGTGAGCTATGGCAAATTAAATATATTTTTCAAAACTTTTTTTTTTTTTTAAAAAGCATTTTCACAGTGTGTTTTTAAATATGTGTCTAGATTCCACCATAGAGGAAAACTGTGGTGTATCAAGATATGATACTAGTTATTTCTGCTTAACATATCTGCTGATTTGCTTTTGCTTAACTAGATAGCTTGCAAATTTGTAGTAATGATTAGTTGATGTTGCTGAAACCCCCACTGTGGAATTCCCTCACCATGTGGGTACTTTCCCAATTCCAAGGAAATACACTCTTTTAGCCCATAGGTGACACCAGTTCCTCTATGTCCTTAATCTCTGTTCTGGTTTGTGTTACTAAAAGTCTATATTTTCATATCCTGAGTACCTGTGCATTTCTGTCTACAAATAAAAACGTATAAACCATATTCATAATCAGAGATCAAGTAACTATTGCAGAAGGAATTTTCTTCCACCTTTACCCTTCTGTAGTACAGCTGGGCAGTACACATGGGTTTGGTTCCAACTCAATAACTTTTCAACAGGGGGTCAAAGCCATAGAAGGAGAAGAGTTTGGATTTGATATCCCGCTTTATCACTACCCTAAGGAGTCTCAAAGCGGCTAACAATCTCCTTTTCCCTCCTCCCCCACAACAAACACTCTGTGAGGTGAGTGAGGTTAAGAGACTTCAGAGAAGTGTGACTAGCCCAAGGTCACCCAGCAGCTGCATGTGGAGGTGCGGGGAAGCGAACCTGGTTCACCAGATTACGAGTCCACTGCTGTTAACCACTATACTCTCATAGAACAAAAGCTGGCCATGCTGGTAACAGATGACTTCCAACCCCATTTTATTCTTCTGTTATTTAGGTCGGAATGTTTTTAATTTCAATGCATATCTTACCTACAGAAAACAGAAGCATCTCAGAAAACAGAAGGGTAACCATGAAAAGCCAGTGTAAATGCATTGTTGAAGCTTGACTCAGATGGATCTCAACTTGAACAGCAAGAGAAGTCAACTGAGGGAGAATGCCTTCTTGAAGGCTGAATGCTTGCCTATTTATAGGGTTCTTGATATACAGACACGTAATGATCTTTATGCAATGCATGTGATGACAGAAGTAGTAAAAAAAGAGAGATTATTATCTTATACGTTGCATGTTATTACTTAGGAAGACATAATCTTCAAGGAACATAAACTTCCTGACATTACCCCTGATATTTATTCTTAGTTCAGGAACAAAATAATTGTTTTTAGAACTCTCTGTCTATATTTTATTTCCTGCTTTAGGTGCTGAGATACACAACTGCTATCCCTCATGAAGACAAGGCGTACCAAAGCAAGGAAATACTGAACAGTCCATTGAGCTGCTGAATGACTGAAGGTTCAGCAGATTGGAAAGCTGATTAACAACTGAGTGGAAAAATATAGTCAAAGAACTGTAGAACTGTAGAGTTGGAAGGGATGCAAGGGTTATTACATCCATCCTCCTGCAATGCAGGAATCACAGTTAGAATTCCTGAGAAATGAGGAAGTCTGTTCCACTGTTGAACAGCTCTGTCAGAAAGTTCTTCCTAATGTTTAGCTGGAATCTCATTCCTTGTGAATTTGAATTCATTGGTTCTACCCTCTGGAACAGAGGGAAACAAGCCTACTCCATTTCCCATATGACAGCAGTTCAGATATTTGAAGATGGCTACGTATCACCTCTAGGGACGCAGGTGGCGCTGTGGGTTAAATCACAGAGCCTAGGACTTGCCGATCAGAAGGTCGGCGGTTCGAATCCCCGCGACAGGGTGAGCTCCTGTTGCTCAGTCCCTGCTCCTGCCAACCTAGCAGTTTGAAAGCACATCAAAGTAGATAAATAGGTACCGCTCCAACGGGAAGGTAAACGGCATTTCCGTGTGCTGCTCTGGTTCACCAGAAGTGGCTTAGTCATGCTGGCCACATGACCCGGAAGCTGTACGCCGGCTCCCTCGGCCAATAAAGCGAGATGAGCGCCGCAACCCCAGAGTCGGTCACGACTGGACCTAATGGTCAGGGGTCCCTTTACCTTTGCCTTACGTATCACCTCTCAGTCTTCTGTCCTTCACTCTAAACATAGCCAACTCCCCCATAAGGCTTGGTTTCCGGGCCCTTGGCCATCTTGGTTGATGCCCTCTCTACATGTCCCATTGTGTCAATATCCTTCTTATTTATTTTTTTAAAGTTTTTTATTTATACAACAAGAAAAACAAACAAACATAAAACACAAATACCAAATTATACACAAATTACAAAAATAACCATAGACACATAATATTCTTAGCAAACAATAAAACATCTATTGGTCTTAACACTAAAGACCCAACCTCCCGTCTATTCCATACTTCAAATTCATATTACTTATTGCCAATACACATTTTTTTTCATAATTAAACTTATTCTCATTAAATCTAATTTCTTATATCTACCTTACAACTATTACTGAAGTTCCTCGAATGCTGCAACAGAATTTAAACTACTATATTTATTTTTCAGATATTCTTTAAAAACCTCCCATTTAGAAACAAATTCCTGTTTTGATTTATTCTTTATTTTTTCTGATAAACCATCTAATTCAGCATATTCTGTCAGCTTTTGGATCCAATCTTGAATAGAGGGGATTTCATTACTCTTCCATTTTGCTGCGATCAAAACTCTTGCTGCTGCCGTCGCATATAAAAAGATACCCTTCCTCTTTTGTGGAATATCCAAATCTGTTATTCCCAGGAGGTAGGCCTCTGGTTTTTTATTGAAAGAGCTCTTTAGCATTTTTTGCAGTTCTGCATGTATACTCTCCCAGAATACCTGTATTTTCCTACATATCCACCACATATGGAAGAAGGTTCCTGAGTCTCCACATCTCCAACAATTACTTGATACATTTTTATACATTTTTGAAAGCTTCCATGGTGTTAGATACCAACGATGTTGCATTTTTTGAAAGTTCTCTCTAATCGTGTAACAATTTGTGAATTTCCAATTGATCTTCCATAAATTTTCCCATTGGGCCATGGTTATTGAGTGGCCAAAATCCTGGGACCACCTCACCATTGCCACTGTTACCTCCTCCTCCTTGACTGTCCAGTCAAGGAGGAGTCGGTAAGTTTTGGAAAGAATTTTTCTTTTAGAATTTACAAGATCAGATTCGAATCGGGAAATTTCTGTTGAGAACCCCTTTTGTTTGTCAGATTTAAATTTTTCAAATAACTGATGGTATTGGAACCAGTCTGAAATGTGGTCTCTTATTTCCTCAAAGTTTTTAATTTTATTTGGTTATCTTCATTTTTTAGAAGTATTTTATATGTTGGCCAGCTTTCCTGAGTATTTTTCCGTTTTACTGCTATGGCTTCTACTGGAGAAGTCCACCACGGGACTTTAGGCTCCATCAGGTCTTTATATTTTTCCTATACAGTGACTTTCTTATTATATGGTTGGTAAATTTTTTATGAATTTTCGCTTTTCCATATATTAGGTAGGCGTGCCAACCCCAACGGTTGTCAAAACCTTCCAGGTCCAGGAGGTCCGAATCCTGCAACGTGCACCAATCTTTTAGCCAGGTGAAACATGCTGCCTCGTAGTAAAGTTTTAGGTCGGGTAGGGAAAAGCCTCCTCTCTCTTTTATGTCTATTAAGATCAGGTGTTTAATCCTAGGTTTCTTCCCTTCCCACAGGAATTTGGAAATTTCTCTTTGCCATATCTTGAGACATCCTGCTTCGCCCAGTATCGGAATCATTTGAAATAAAAAGATTAATTTTGGAAGCACATTCATCTTTATAATGGAAATCCTACCCAGAAATGTTAATTTTAGTTTACTCCAGGTTACAAAGTTTTTTCTAATCTCTAACCAAGTTTTGGTGTAATTATCCTGAAATAAGTTTATGTTCTTGGGGGTGATCCAAATACCCAGGTATTTCGCTTTTGAGGAGATTTTCAGGCCCAATATTTTTTCTAAAATGTCAATATCCTTCTTAAACTGTGGTGCCCCAAACTGGACACAGCCAGGGCTTGACTAAGGCAGTATAGAGTTGTAGTAATATCAGGGCTCACCCAGACTTGGATTTTTCCTGTGCCTAGAAAGCATGCATCTGAGCAGTTTTGCCTTTGCCCCCTGCTTCCCCCCCCAGGGAAAACCCATTCTCTCTCCCCCCCCCCCGGGAATAATGTGCACATCTCTATCCCCCTGCCCCTCAGTAATTTTTCACAAAACGAGTTGTCTGGCTTGCTAGTGGGTTGTAATCCAGAAAAGACTCCTCCTTTAACCATTCTCCATCTGAGAAACGATAGTGTGTGGCAGATGAGGTTATCTATTCATGTTGTTTAGCCTGGGGAAAACAGGGAATGAATAATATTGTAACAAGTAAAGGGAAGGAGTTTTGGGCAGCCTTGACAACCATTGCCAAGGGGGTCAGAATGTAGGGAGAGTGACACTTGGAGGGCAGTTAAGCCAGAAACAGAGGAGATGAGGAGCAACGTTGGACTACTGAGAAACTGTTGCTGTTAGTTTTTGGAGGACAGTTGATAATAAGGTGAGGTGACCATGCTCAGGATTGTGGAGTGGCTGTTGTGGAGTGTGACAAAACAGCTCATACTACATCTGGTGGAAGAAGAAGAAGAAGAAGAAGAAGAAGAAGAAGAAGAGTTTGGATTTGATATCCCGCTTTATCACTACCTGAAGGAGTCTCAAAGCGGCTAACAATCTCCTTTTCCCTTCCTCCCCCACAACAAACACTCGGTGAGGTGAGTGGGGCTGAGAGACTTCAGAGAAGTGTGACTAGCTGTGCTGGTCCCGGGGGTGAGGTACCTTGGGTGTAGCAGAGTCCACACGAAGAGGGGCAAGGTCCGAGGCAGAGAGCCGGGCGGGGAACAGGAATGCTGGAACAGGAGGCTGTGCAGGGAACAGGAACACCGGATGGTCGGGAACAGGAGGCCGAGCAGGGAACAGGAGTACCGGATAGTCAGGAACAGGAAGCCGAGCAGGGATCAGGA